TTATCAGATACTGTTGGATACCCCTGGTCTCACCACACCAATAAAGGCTAAAAGGTGACTATGTAATACAGCGGTTTCTTACATTCAACTGTAAGTAAACAATTTGTAGGTTGATTTCCCTGAAAAGTGTAAATACTGTGGCTCTGTGGCAACATTGCTCTGATTGTTTGAACATCTCATTCTCAACCAACCTGAAACAGCAACATTGGTTTAACTAATGCCATGAGTGTGGTAAAAATACAGATAAATTAAACTTGATTGTTTTGTTATATTTGTTCAACAGACATCACCTGGAGGAATCACTGCTGGTGGATCCTTTTGAGTCAATAAAGGAAGCTGATCTAGGTAAAAAAAAAAAATAGTTTTAGTTGTTCTTCTCTTGTTTATTTCTTAATCTGTTCAAAAAAGAGGACACACAGCCAGCATCCATTTGTTTGTGTGATAATTGTGCCATGGTATTATGACAGGGTTCTTAAAGGGATAGTTAACCAAAAAAATTAAAATTAGCCCATTGTTTACTCACCCTCAAGCCATCCTAGGCGTATATGACTTCCTTCTTTCAGATGAATCCAATCGGAGTTATATTAAAAATTGTCTTTGATCATTGTCTTCGAAATCCTCCGACATTCTTCTTTACAAATCCTCGTTTTGTACTTCTAATTAGTGACCGTTGTTTTGTTTTGATCTCTCCCCTGCGCTTCCGCATTCGTCACTTCTGAGCGGCGCATGCGCAAAGCTGACCTCATACGTCATCCGCCTGAAGCTGCTTCTGTGTACAACAGTGAGCGCAAGCTAGATTAAATTGATTATTACGTTTTAAATATGGTTATTTTTCTTACAAAAACGCATCGATTCGCTACAGGAGGTCTTTGTTCACCCCCCGCAGCCATGTGAGGCACTTTTTATTATGGATGGATGCGCTTTATTTCACTTCTTTTGGACTGATGCATGCAACACCCGCTGACTGCCATTAAACAGCTTGGAAGATCAAAGACATTTTTTAATATAACTCCGACTGGATTCATCTGAAAGAAGAAAGTCATATACACCTAGGATGGCTTGAGGGTGAGTAATTCATAGGCTAACTTTCATTTTTGGGTGAACTAACCCTTTAACCGGGGGGCAATGGCCTCAGTAGACTTTCAGGGGGGTCTCATTAAGTCTTGAAGTATTAAATATTTGTATTACAACAGATGTGCCAGATGTATATATCAGCTTAGATAGGAGAGCCTTTGAATATAGTTTTGAACAAAGGGGATGCTTGGAGTCAAAAAGGCTGAGAACCACTGTATTATGACTCATGTGCTGAATCTTCCGTTTTCTCCATTTCTACTATATATTTGCAGTGGTGGTGCTAGTCGACGTTTCTGATAAATGGACCCGCAATAAGCTGGACTATGAAGTGCTGAAGTGTTTGGCCCTGAAGCCAGATGTCCCTGTTATCCTTGTCCTCAATAAGGTATTAGCTGTGTCATTGTGTATTGATCTGTCCCAGGCCGACCATAGGATTAGTTTGTGGAGGAAATTACCATCTCTTTTCTCTGCATATCCCATCTCTCATCTGACAAAGAGTGGGGGCTGTTTTGCTGCTACTGTTATCACAGAAATGAATGTCACTATGAAACCCAGTGAATTATTTACAGCTGGTACACTTAGAGGAGCTATAAAAGAGATCATAGAGCAAAGAGTTGGCTCTTAACACACAGGTAGACCTACTGAAGAACAAAACGCTTCTGCTAGACATCACAGCTCAGCTGACAGAAGGGGTGGTGAATGGTAAGATCAGAATCCGTGGAGCAGAGAAACCACATCAGAAATTAGCAGCCAAACCCCACAGCAGACACACTGAAGAACCACATTCTGAGAGCATGAAGGACGGGGCGTCTCAGGAGGGTCAGGACAAAGACAGGCTGAGCCCAGAGGAGCTGAAGGCCCTGAAGAGCCGCAGGGGGTGGCCACTTTTTAAGGACATATTTATGTTAAGTTCTGTTGACAGAGAAGATGTGGAAACATTAAAGGTTAGAGGCTGCATTTGAGATTCTAAGAAAAAGAAATTTACATTAAAAAAACTTGTCTCCAACACTGTGCTATTCATCCTTAATTTGTCTCTGTTTGAACACGTGCAACAGAGGTACCTGTTTGAAGGTGCAAAGCCTGGCCAGTGGCAGTACCACAGTGAAGTACTGACTGATCAGGGTCCGGAGGAGGTGTGCATCAGCACTATCAGAGAGAAACTTCTACAGTATCTCCCTAAGGAGGTGCCATACAGTATGACACAGGTGGGCTATGATTTGTGGGCACCTAAAAGGTGTTGAAATACACTACCATTTGGGGTCAGTAGAATTTATTTTAAAGAAATAATTACTTTATTCAGCAAGGATGCATTAAACTGATCAAAAGTGACAGTAAAGACTTTCACAATGTTACAAATGAACCATTTATCCATCTTAGAATCCTGAAAATAGATGGTTTCCACAAAAATATTAAACAGCAGTTTCCCAGCTTGTTATGATCTGTTTTTCATCATCGAAACTGCATCCATTTTACTCCGGTATGATTCTCATTCCGTTAGCTGTGAATTGGGAACTCAAAATATGTCATTACTCAAAATATGTTTAATGCTTTTTCCGAAATGTTACTTGTTTTTTCCTTATTACTTTGGTCTTTTTGCAGCAAATCGAAATCTGGAAGGAGTCTGAGGATGGGGTACTCGACATATCCATCAAACTATATGTAAAGAAAGACTCTCATATGGTGAGCTCTCTGATTGCATCTCTGTTTTCTGAAAGTTTGTTTGTCACATTTATTTGAGGAGGCTAATCTCCCGTGCTGCTGTTTTCACCATCAGGCAACTTTAGTTTTATGGTAGACATTTTGTGGAATTGTTTTTAAAACAAAAGAGTGCTTTTTCACGACCTAAAAAACAGTGACATTATTATACTTAACTATAAATCAAACCTTTGTTCTTTCTTGCAGAAAATGGTTATTGGTTCTGGAGGTCATATGATAACCAGAATAACCCAGGAAGCTGAAAATGACCTAATGAAGATTTTCTTGCGTGAAGTGCGTTTAAAAATCTCTGCAAAGTTGAGGAAGTAAGCTAGACTGTTTGGATGATTAAGGTCAGAGCCTGACCCATGCAGAGGGATACAGAAACCTGAAAAGATATACTTAAGAGTGAAAAAATGGACATGAACTCAAAATTGGCTGTATTTTGGGTTATACTGTCAGATCTCAACAGACCTCCTTCATTCCTGTAAAATTAAATGTAAAGTATATCAGAGGCACATTACATGGGTTTTCTGTATCATTTCAACAAGATTATGATTGATCGTATCACAACTGCCTGTGCCATTTACACATCTTGCTGCTTTTGATTTATAAAAATGTCTATATGATAATAAATGCCAAAAATCATATAGTTCTGCATTCATACATAGATATACTTGTGTTTACCTTGTTTTTTTATTATTATTATTCATTGTCTTCAGTGTGGTCAGGCTGTTATCTGTGGTGCAGTCTTGCTGTTTAACTGAATGTCTTACGTAATAACATTACACTGACCTGAAATCACTCAACTGCAGGCCCGGCTCCAGCTCTAACATGTAAGGTGGGCCATATAGGACTCAGTTTGGGTGGTGGCTGGCTGTCAGGGTGGAGCAGGGCCTGCTAAACTGTGGCTGTACACAATGCTTACTGCAGTTTAAAAACTATTTGTAGCTATGTCTGTAATATTACAGTTATTAAATATTAATTTTCAACAGTTGAGTAAATTATTGCATCAGTTTTAGTCAGTGGTAAATCATTTGAGTAATGAAGAAAAGTCAGATAAGTTTCTCATGGTGCTGGATTGTCTGTGGTGGAAAAGTTATGGACACTTTATCTACAGACAGCAGAAGTCAGTGCTTTTACGAGAACTAGAAACAAATATACTCACAAATATGCAAAACTGCACATATGGAGTGCACTTATTCACTTAAAATATTTGATTGTGTAAATCCCAGTTGTTTGTTTTATTGTAACAAAATAATAAAAACTTTAGGGTCAATACGATTTTAATGTTTTTGAAAGAAGTAATTTATACCCATCAAGGCTGCATTAATTTGATAAAAATACAGTAAAACAGTATTATTGTGAAATATTAATTTTTAATGTTTTAATGTAAAATATATATATTTTTTTTTTCCAAAATGTAATTTATTCCTGTGATGACAAAGCTGAGTTTTCAGCAGCCATTACTTCAGTCTTCAGTGTCGCATGATCCTACAGAAATCATTCTAATATGCTGATTTGGTCTCAAGAAACATTTCTTATTACGATAAATGTTGAACACTGTTGTGCTGCCTAATATTTTTGTGGAAACAGCTACACTTTTTTTCCCCCTCAGGATTCTTTGATGAATAGAAAACCCAAAAGAACGGGATTTACTTTTATTTGAAATTAATTTTTTAACTACTTTACTGTTACTTTTTTAATTTCTTAAAAAACTTGTATGTTTGTTTTCTTAAAAAAAAAAACATGTAAATAATTCAAATTATTTTTTCTTCTTCCACCTCCTTCAAAACATGTGGAAAAAGCCATTTAAAGTTCCACTGCCTAGGCCCTAGAGGGTTAGATAACCTTTCTAATGAAAAGTGCTGCTGAAGTGAGTTTCAAAATGGTGATAATGGTGCACTTATTTCCCTTTTTGCACTAGAACTTCATGAAGAATTATATGCTTACATCTAGCTGACCTAAAGCAATGGAATGCTCCTCATTCATTATATCCTTATACTGGCCTTTAATTTGATTTCATTGGCTGCATCAGTTAACTGTAAGTTCATTAAAGTTAAAGCAGAGATTCTCATCCATCATTTCTTTGGCTCCTAGAAGCACAAGTAAGCATTTTACCAACCGCATATGCTGCCTCTCTGTGTAAAATGAAGGGTTTTGTAAAAATAATTGTATAATGAAACAAAACAAGCAAAATGTTTAATTTCAAATTCAGTGATATTTATTAAAATTACACACAATGACAGTCTCATATAACACTTTATAGGCTATAAAGTTGTATAGAATTAAAAATGATCAGAATTTCGTTGTTAGTTGATTTAATCTGCTTAACAATATTTTTGTTCATCCGTTCACTCATCTGATTTTGACTGCTTCATCCGTTGCTCTGAAGTTCACTTGACTCATGCTTGGTCCTCTCATATCCAGATGATTTTTGAGAGAAGGCAACAGAACCCTTACCATTACTAAACTCAGTAATGGTAACGGTTTCACCGCCCCTCTCTGTCACAAAGTTTTTGGGTCCACAGGAAACAGTCGGAGGTGTATTGACCCCCTGGATAGTACATCATCTATACTGTAGTGTCTCAATAATGAACTTACAGTATACGATGATATCCTGTCTAGAGGGCAAGATTGATGAAACACTTTCCCTTTGGATGTCCACTGAACATTCACATCTACTGTTTTTAACATTTTCTATGATCAGCTGTTTGGTTTATCTTAAGGTTTAACATTCCTTTCAGTAAATTGTCAGCCAATTTTTAGGCTGCTAAAATCATATTTGTCAATGGTTTAGAATTATTCCATATACCAAAGCAATTTCCAGAAACGGTCTAGTTTTCCAGATCTGTTGCATCATTATTGCATCATTATTTGTGTTTCCAAAAGATTTTCCTGCAAAAATTCTTCCCAAATCTTCAGACGATCACACCTGTGGAAGATCCCTCGCATGGGACTATTCATCTAAAAGGAAGAGCAGCTGCCATCCTGTAGTTCATAGTCACCGGGCGACACACTCACCTTTAGATCTGTGTCCTCAGTACTCCTGCGGGAAGTGTCATCTGTCACCTTTACCCGTCTTTTTTGTTTTCACAAGTCTGTTGTCTCCATGCCATTAAGCGCTCGTAAACGCTGCTCCCTTGGTCGTGAGTTTTAATGCTTGTTGCTCATTTGCATATGATGACACAAAGGCTGTTCTATCCTTATCATGTCTCTGCCTTTCAGTCTGCTGACCAATCAGAATCATTCCCTATATCAGACCCTGAACAGTTACTTACATCAGGACTCGCTCTCACGCGAGTATGTGAGCCCACACCCAAACTCTCCCACCCTTGCAATAAACTTGAAATTGCAATAAAAAAAGTTGGTGAATAGATCCAAAAACTTGTTTTATGCATATCATATTAGTTTCTTTAGCCTTTATCTACACTCTCATAAAAAAGGAATAAAAGCTGTCACTGGGCTATTACCTTTTCAAAAGGTACACTTTTGTATCTTTTAAGTACTAATATGTGCAATTAAAGTATCAGTATAGACACTTTAGGTACGAATGTTTACTGGTTGAAAAGGTACCACCCTTGTGACAGCTTGTGTACCTTTTTTCTGAATGAATTCAAAAGTGCCAAATTCCAAAATACACATTAGAAAACCTTAAATCTTTAGATTACTGCAAAATAGTTAATAATACGACACGAGACAAGTGCATCTTGACTGTATGAGGCATTTACAAAAACATGTTAATAAAGGACAATGTTTTATTCAATTTCTACTCAGGATTTAAATCACTAAGATGGGTTTCATGACATTACAATAGTGGAAGCACACACAGATGCCAAATTCACGGATTATGGTGGCCAGTTGTCTACAATTGAAATCACCTCTGGGTGTCTGTTCTCTGTGTGAGCTGTGACAAATTAACCTGATTCTACATCTGTAGTTGTCCTCAGCATCTGGATGTTAAAGGTCTATTGGCTAACATGGGAGTGGCCCCCCGTGGTTACTGTGGAGACAGACTCCCGGTTAGGGTGGGGTTGGGAGGTGTTTGTGACTGCTTAGGCCATGTTAACAGATAAGAACAAGATTGTGGCCTATCTGAGTTGCACCAGCATGTTGCAAGCCCCTGACACCTTATCTGCCACCCATGGACATTTCGGTTAAATTTGTGATGATTTCACAGAAAAGAGATCGCTGTGGCCAGCTAGACATGAAGGGAACTGGAAACTGCCCTTTAGAGCTCTTATGAAACGCAAGTATTCACCTGATCTAACTGATTTGGGATCATTTAAACTGAATGGTTCTTGAGTGCTGGCATAAAGTGTGCAGAGTCAATTCTTCGAGAACAATCCTGCTATATCAGCATCTTCTCCTTTAGCAAAGCACTTAACAAGTTGCTCAGTTGTGACTTACTCTTCAAGTAGTTTAGTGTAAATTAACTTAAAAACACTAAACGATGAAGACAGTTCAGGGCAGATACTAGATCAGGACCTTTCAGGCTTTTTCAGGCCAAGGGCTCACTTTTGAAAAGGTGACGGCTTTTGTACCTTTATTTCTGAGAGTGCTCCTTAAGAGAGACTAACCAGAGACCCCTCTTACATAATACTGTTACATTTTAAGTCAGGTATATAAAATGCAGGTATACTATTTTAATGTGTTTATAAAATTGTATGTAATATTAATAAAAATTAAAATATAAACAAAATTATTTGTAATTTGTATACATTTTTCATTTATATTGATTTAAAGACACAAATATGTGTACATTTAGTTACATTTTCTTGTATTTAAATGTGTATGAAAAATATTACAGTAGGGACAATGAAACATGAACTTAATTTGATCGGGATTTCACGTGAAGGCAAACGATTTCCCTATGCAGGGGTTCAGGTTGATCATGCAAATTTGCTGCATTGGTCAACAGAAAGCAACTTGGTTTGACTTATGTGTCAGACATCACTAAACTACACTATACACAATGGAGCTTTTTTGCCCACAAAATTTCACTAACTACTGTTTGAAGGCCTTTACTGCTTGAAAAACTTAGAGGTGTTTACTAAGATGGTTAGACGTGTTTAACTGCCTAAACATATTCAAAACCATACTGCTATCAAAGGTTATTTTGTACAGGCCTCACTCAGAGAAAGCCCTTAGCAAATAACCTGAAACCAGATTTAATGCACAATTTTAATATTCACGATTAGAAATTATCTGCTGAACTTTGACAGTTTGACCAAGAGCCAATAAATAGTGGCAAAGACTTCCTGCAGTAATGAGAGGACAAACTGCTGGGGTGATTAACACCTATTTGCGTGTGCGTCTGTATGGGTTTGGAGGAAGTGTTAGGGAACCCTTGGCCTCTAGCATAAGATGCACCCCCCTTTCCCCCAGATCCAAAGATTGTTGTTTCTACACACCTTTGTGGGCAAGCTGGAGTGCAAACTGGGAACTGGGAGAGACAAAGAGACAGATCAAAGACGAGACTGATGTTTTGACAGAAGTGCACATACGCACCTCTGTCCTCTTTGAAGTTATGGAAAGGTAGCAACCCAAGGATAGTCCTAGCAGGTCATTGGCTTTGGAAGCTACAAACCTCCGTCACTTTAGTTTGTTGCTCCAGTCTCATGGTCATGTATCTCCCAGAGGAATGGCCTGTGCTGGATTTACCTTACAAAATGAATAATTTGGCTAATAACTATGGATATTATCCACAAGGTAGGACTTTAGATCTTTACATCTCTCATGTTTTTTGAGTTTTAAATTCAATTTCAGGTTTATTTATTGTTGTTTT